ATGCTCTATGGGGTGACTTTATGACTGTTGCTACAACTACGCCAGCGAATGTCAGTTGTTGCGGTTGTGGTGGAGGAACTTGGTACCGAGACGATAGCCCTGGCGCTGACTGGCAGGACATCGTCAAGCTGGAATTGAAGTATAGCAACAGCTCTCAGGGCAAGTTTGATCGAACGGTCAAAGGTAGTCAGTCGCTTGATCTCATACTGACCGGTATTGAGCCTGTGGTTTCAACTGCTGGTGGTAACAGGATACTCCGTGTCGTTGCTCTTGACTCTAGCGGCGTCATCAACAACAAGGAGACCGGGTTGATTGTCACTGTCGAGGTATTCGAGAACGGCCTGCCACTGGCATCAAAACGAGCCGTGCTCAATGATGGCGAGGCAATGGTGGATTTCGATTTCCCCGCGGGCGTCACAGAGCTTACTGCTGTCGCTTCTCCGAGTGAGCCCATCTTCCTTGACGTCTCCCTGGTTGACTGCGGTGGTGATAGTACGGTCGGTCCTAATGGCTTACGATATCTTCTGTGGAAGTTAGCTGGCGACTCTTACGTCCTCAAGTGCGCAACCCTATCCGCCGATGAGACTTCGTGGATCGATCCTCTAGGTGGCGTTCTCAACCCTCAAGATAACGAAGGCTGGATGTCGATCATGATGGCCAACGAGAACGGTGTGGTTGTCACCGCTACAGATTCAACTCCTCGAAGGGTCTCTAATGTTCTTCTCGGCTTTGAGGGTGGTGGTATTGGCATTGGTGGATGTGGGGGCTTCTGTGTCTTCGGTGGTATGCTTTCCGTCAACTTTGGCATGTCGTTGAGGCCGTCTCTTATCAAGATCCTTCGTGAGGAATCGACTATCACGACAACGGATGATGACGGTCGCGGGGGAGGGAGTTCGACCACAGTGAGCACGAGGACGGGTGATGTTATTACAGTGACTTCTACAACTACAACTAGCACGGTATTTGCAGTTGATTGCGACGCTGGTTGTCGAGCTATCCGTCCTGGATCGTATTGCAAATACTGGTTGAATCCTTCTGTCTGTTATGCTAGTGATGTGCCCTGCATCTGCACCACTATCCCTTGAATTCCGCGAGCTCTCTCGTGACTATGTATATCGATGCTTCACACCACACTATAAGTTATAGTCCATAACATGATCATATTCACTCGTGCTCAACTACGTTGACACATTCATTTTAACAAGAGCTTTGTGTTGAGAGTTAATAGTTGTTCGCAAGTTGGTACGCCCCTTTTGTGGACTCAGTAGCAAATCTAAGATAAGACCACTCT